CAAAAGCAGGGCAAGAAGGGTAAAGAAGAAGAAGAGTATATATATACACAATACGAAAACTAATGCTTATCTTCCTTAAAAGCTCAACAGGTCACCTGGCGGACGAATCCAAAACTCATCGCCCTAGCCGTTCCTCTTATGACAACTAATAAGGTCAAAGACACAGTTTGGGAAGGGAATAAAGGGGCAACATGAACAAATAAACTTCATCATTTCACGGATAATAATCGAATACAACATCTTCATACAAATCAGAAAGAAACGTTCACTATTCTTTAACAAAACTCGAACAGGGTCACAACATAAAACTGGGGAATTCTAAGTGGGTCATTCAACGGTAGTACTAGAAATACTTCAGATGTTTCACTAACATGGTCTCACAATCGACATAAACAATACTTTCACAATAAGCGGCCAGGTACTTTCACCTCAGCAAATCAAAACGTCACAATGGACAATGCAAGTATTTGTACCTCCGCTTTTACCAAATAATAAACACTACATCACAAATTCTACAACAAGAAGGAATGCTATTGAGACTCTATCGCCGCCAATAGTCTTACTTCAACACATAGAAAGGCTTATCCTTTCTAATATATCACGGAAAGGGGATGCTGCTACGCAGTCTTACACAACAACAGAAATATCCAAGGAAACACAAATCCAGGTCACATGCCTGTACGTCCTATATGATATTTCAAAAACACAATACTCAAATCACAAACTAACACATTTTAGACCATTAACATATCTCCACTACAATATCTGACCACACAAAGACACGGAAAGACACTAAACTAACAGACAGAAAAAACATCACAATACTTTCGCTAAGTATTCTCAACAAATCGGCCTTAGCCAGGAATACACGAAGTCGTATCATCACTCTCCTCTACGTGTACACAAAAAAAGAACTAGGGAGAAACACAAGACTAACAGACAAAAGAAAAATAACAATACTCCGCTTTGTCACTAACAAATCGGCCTTAGCCAAGGACAAACGGAATCGTATCATCATTTCCTCCTACTTATAACACAGAATAGGAACAAAGAAAACACGGGGAAACACGGAAATAACAAACATAAGGCAAATAACAATACTTCGCTTTGTCACTAACAAATCGGCCTTAGCCATGGACAAACGAAATCGTATTATTACTTCCTCCTACTTATAAAACAAAAGACAACACGAAAACACATGGACTGATCATGGACTGTAAAATCAGAAGCATTTTCCTTTTCGGGGCTTAAAAAAAAATTTCACACATTGCCTGGACTATTAAACTTTAAAGATACGAAAAAATTTGACCTATATTTTTCGCACAACAGCTGATTTCTGAAACGCAATAAATTGCCAAACACTCAATAAGAAGACGAAATAAATTGACTTAACACTTAAAGAAAGGACAGCGTCTACATACGAAATAAATTATTTCGTTAACGTAAACAAAATTCTTTTCTCAGACATGGGATGATACTTAGACGAACAAGAATAAACAAACTTAATATCGTTCACATTTTAAATACCGGCAAATAAGGAATGACATCATTCCAAATACGTATTTTTTAATTCACAAGGAAATAGACGAAAATTATTTCTACATAATTTTACGAAAACTGGACATAAAAGAAAATGGAAATCGTAGCAGTTAACTTGGGGCAGGAATAGACTTGATTTAACGGAAAACTGGATAAAAAGCAAATCACAATATAACTGAAAATATAATTCGAAGCAAACTCAGACGAACTTCACATACAGGGCGGGACAAAAATACTAAAACAATGTTTGGGTGAAAGCAAATACACAATGTATACAAAACAACATACTCGATAAACTTCACAGGGTGATACAAAAATACTATTGAAAATAATATTGAAAACTTGACTTTTGAGTGAGCTACACAAAATAACACAACATTAAAAAAACCTTGCTCTTGTTCTGAAAACTAAATGAGACTGCTCCTAGGCAAAACTAAACAGCACCTCCGATCACGAGTATTACACTTGTCATCATTCAGATACAAGACAGGAAACATAAAAAGGAACTCGGGGGAACACAATCTCCTAATAACCCGTGGCATTACATACGCCGTCAAAGCTGGTTAATTAGGGAACAACAGGGGAACACAGGGGACTATTCTTCACATTCACAGTCTCCTACTAGCCCGTGGCATAACACAAACGCCGTCAAAGAGGGCCTAGAGGAAACAATGAAATGGCTTAGGACAAAAGACAAAACACAACTCTACTCATCAGCTCAAAAAAAAGTCACTCAAACAATAAACACATTTACTCAAAATGACCAGACAAAACAAAATTACAAAAACCGATTTTTCTGTAAGAAATGTCAAATCAATCAAAAATAAATGGCACAATAACGGTATACTTAACTTGTTACTGTAAATAACTTAAAATTCTTTTCAACATCAAAACATTATTTAAAATTCAATTTAAATATTCAAACTCAAAATATTTGCTTTCATTTACCAATACACAAAAATACATATAGAAAAAATTCTACAGTACACGAAATAAAAGAAACAACATTACATATGTCAATATACAACAAATACATATGTTGATATACAATAATACATATGTTAATACAAATACCATACAAAGAAAAAACAACAATACATATGTTGATACAAATACATAAACAAACTGTTTGTGGGACACCGGGGCACTACCTGGAAGACGGGGTTTCATAAAAATGGCAAAAAATTATGGCAGAAAAATTGAAAAAGATATATGGCTTCGGAAAAAGGGACAGAAATCTAAAAAAACGCCAGCCACGTTGGGGGCCATTTTTGTAACGATAAGATACAAAAATGGCGAAAATCTAATACAGGCCACACACGTTGGGCGACATTTTTGTAACGATAATATTTTGCCTACCACATGGGGTCATTAATACAAGGGGGTAGAAAATTGGGGGAAGAAACTAAGGGGGTGGAGATAAGGCAAGCAAAATAATCGCTACTGATGCGAACGGCACTCAGGGTTTCGTAGGAGAGCTGGGGTCGTGGATAAGTAACAGATAAGGGCATTGGAATGGGGGAACTACAAAAAAATGAAATAAAGGGCTCTTGGAATAAACAAAATAAAAATAAACAAGAAACACCTCAAGGAATTTAATATAGGGCGCCACTTGAGGTGCCTAATTATGCCTATTACAACCACTAGTTGTAACTAGGGAAATAATTAGAAAATAAAATCAAAACATATCTTTTTCAAATAAACTCAAAAAGGGTTAGCTTAAAAAAAATAAATAAAAAGTTAAGAAAATAAAATTTAACTTTTATTTATGTGTCATACCACAAACAGTTACAAAACAATTCAACTTTATGGTTATGTATTAATGTCGAGAAAGGATAATACTAACTGTCATATATCGAAATGAAATATTAAACCTTTTTGAAACATTAATTTCAATTATAGCAGTCAACTTTATTTAAAAGAAAACTAATAGGACAATTAGCTAATCCATAAAATTTATAATTTCATTTATTTACAATTTTTTAGTTTGTCATCAAAGCAAATTTTTTTATTATTGAAAAATTATTTATTTTTACTTTGAAAAGTAATTTTTAATTTTAAAAGTACCTGGTATCACTGACTGATGTATTTCCTTTAAGAAAATTTTGGAATCGGAATTGAACCAAAACACTGCAAAATATACAACTGTGTCCCACTTAAGCTGCAATTCAGTCTGAAGTGACTTATGAACACAAATAGACAATTCTTTGGAAGTTGGCCACTGGAATCGGGCTTCGGATCATCCTGAATGACAAAAAACTGCAATCTTCAAAACTCGCCCACTCAATTTCCTCCCAAAATCATGTGAACCTCTTAAACGGCTGGAAACGCCGTTTTACAAATCTCTCAGATAAAACACAGCACGAACAAATCGGTGGTTAACTCAACAAAAAAACTGCCAGATCGCATTTTGAGTAAAAATTCACTTTTCAAATTAAAAAAAAAATCCGGCTTGGAAGACTACACCCGCAAGCTATTCCGAATCTCAATTCCAAAACTGGACTGTTTTCTTTGTCTCGGTTTACTCCACACTGCTACTATTTACACATTTTTCCATAACAAAAATGCAATAACGAATTAAAAGAAAATCCGGACTAAACAATGAAACCGACTGACTTTGGCAGCGATTCCACCGAGAGTGACGAAATTAAAAATTTGTTCGCTTAACTTGAAAATCAACGAACTGCTGAAATAGCAAAACCAAACGAACGACGTAGATATCCTTTGAAACGCATTTACATGAAAAGAAATCGCCGCAGTAAAATAAACAACAATTAAATGGATTTATTACTCTACGACGTTAGAATGATTGAAAACACTTTTCGAAAGATACGAACTAAAAAACAGAAAACATTCTTCGTTTTATTAAGACGATTTCATATACGAGGCGACTTTAAATATACTTCAAAGAATCAATCAAATTTAAAATGCTACAATTGGATTAAATGTTCCCCATTTTCATTTTTTCTGCATCTCCGTATTTACCTGCAACTTAGTCATCTGTTTTTTTGCTGTCCAAGCTTTAAAATCTCCCAACAGTACAATTTATTTGTGGCTAAATAAGTTCTGATAACTTTTTGTAGAATATTTGTTTATCTGTTTTTGATGCACTTTCTGATGGCGCATATATTTCCATGATCTCGAGATCGTACCCATTTTACGTAATAGATACTCTAATAAATATCTCATTGATTTGTTCCCAGCCGTTCATATTTTAAGTCTTTCTTATATATATTGATACACCTGCTTGTCCTCTCTTATGTTTCTCTACTCCATTATAAAGCCCCTATGTTGTCGCTAACTTGGCCTTTTTTCTTTGTTTCAGTAAGGACTGTAATATCTGATTTTATTTTTTTTACTTCTGCTATGACTTCGTCTGACTTTGTTTTCAACCTTTGGATATTCCATGTATTTATATTCAAAGTTCTTATTCATTTATATATATATATATATATATATATATATATATATATATATATATATATATATATATATATAGATATAACACTTAAAACATAAGACAAATCTTTTTGTTATCTCTATATTTACTACACTACTTAAGGATGAGAGACTGGAGTACAACCACTAATATTGATAAGTTCTTGTGGACATTCGACTTCTTCGAAAGTAATATCAGGATTTGAGTAACCATTCATCCAATTGAATCTAAATGCACAACCTTCCCATAATGGTTGGGGAAGATTGTAACATTCTTGTAAGGTATGTACACCACCGTATTGATCGCCCCAACTGGCTACATCAGTATTCCATTGAGAGGTACATCCCTGTGTGTAGTATCTAAAAAATATATTGATTAGTTTCAGTTATTATAATAATATTACAGAATTAAAACAGGAATCAATTATTGAAATTGTCTGCTTAAACTTATAATTCACCTGCATTCTTAAGAGAAATCAATATTTTAAAATGTTTGGAAAAAACTAACTAACATGACTAGTTTGACAAGTGAATTTTGTGAGCAACATAATTTTAATGTAACTAAATATTAAATTATTCTCGAAAATTTAGAAAAGTCAAGATAAAATTCAAGAACTTTTAATGCCAACCCTTCATTTCCTCTTTATATTTCTTTATATTATTGGTCTTGGTATTTTATATCTAACTTCACTTCCTAAATACCCTAGGTACTCTAGTTGTCACTTTTTCATTGTTGGTATTAGTATTTGTTCTTTATTCATTCAATTTTCAATTTTCTCCCTCTTAGTTTTGGTATTATATTTTAATTAATAAATATATCTTTAATAACATCTTTGTTTGCTATGAATTTTTCGTTAACTGAGCCGCAACAATTTATGTTGTCCTATTGCATCGATAATTATACAGTTGGAATTAAATAACGGCCCTTTGTAACATGTTTAGTGATTTTCTTGTAAAATTAGGGTTGATGTCTAACGGAAGTTATGTATAACTTTTCCATTTATTGTAACGCCTATTCTTTCAAGTATAACTTCTTAAAGAAGAGATTCACTATAATTAGTAAATATTATAAAACACTACACAGTCTTGCCTGTCACTAGCATAATCATGGTGCTACAGCCCTTACCTAAAGGACCTCGATCTTCTTAAGCTTTATTGCTGTCTTGTTTGGATTTTCAAGTTGCTCCACCTGCAACACTGATCTGCTCAGCATTCTCTGTTACCCCGTCTATCATTTAGCTCAGGTCTAGGTTTGATTCCTAGGTCAACCTAGGTTTGATTCGGGAGCCCAAGCTGCATCATCTGTACACTGAAAGACGGTTTGGCTGGATTATAGTGGTCATATCTTTTTCATGTCGCCAGAGTGACTAAACACGACGCAGATTGTGACTCTGGCCGGCCAATCACAAATAGCGTTATTAACTGCGTTGTCATATTAACACGAAGTGTATAAAAAGGCAGACATCTTACTATCGGGATCTAGTAATCTTACACTACTAGCCCCGCTAGACCTTGTTGCCAGTGTGCCATTTGAAAATTTAACGTTTATTATTATTACCCAAGATTAAGCCTTTGTGAAGACTTCGATTTGAAGAAGAATCCGAATGTTTTTTACAGTGAATACGAACAAAGTCTATTTGACTTCCAAGCATTCACTAGAAGGTGTAGGAGCCAGAGTAGCGACTGTTGGTCATTCTTTTGTCGAGGTCAAGAAAAGTTTGATAGTAAACTTGTCACCTCACGAAAAAACTGTCGACTCGGAATCGACAGTCGTCTTTGAGATAAAAAAGACAGGTTACCTTATACCTAACTTAAATCGTGCCGAACTGGCACAGTGTTCCGCTGGTCCACTGACGGTTAGGAGTGAATAAAAGGCCCTAGTGGACTTAGAATCACTCCTCACTCAGTCGGTGAGTCGAAGTCGCACTTCGCCATAGGAAACCTTCTCGACGGAAATAATCAACGTATTTACAAGAAATAAGATTGTTTCCGTGGGAAGTAACGTGCGAGGTGTGCACCAACGTCAGAGTCGCCACTCCGATGGTGTTCTTACACATTGTGGGGTGTGTGCCCGACCACACATCAAAACGAAAAGGGCTGGCAAAGCGTACACAGCAATTAGAATACTCATATTCAATACATGTAAGAAAATAATACTCCATCAAGTAAGAAACTATCGAACTGTTAAAGTATTCTAAATTGTCGGTAGGCTTTTTGAGGACTACAGAGCCACCAGTGAGCTTCACGTGGAGTGTGGTTGTACCAATGGTTTACACACCATTACCACAAGGAAAGGATGAAATCGAGAAACCTTCGATCCTCCTATAGAGTGGCGGTCGCGAACCATGCAGATATGGAGAATACCTCCGTGGATGCTACGGCCGTACGATATCCACCAAACTTATACTCGTAGATATTCTATGTGATTCGTAGTGGTATTCTTAGTTTCTGTGATTCTATTGTGTGTCTGTGTCTATTCTCTTTAAAGTGTCTCTAACGGATTAAGTGAAGGCTATTAGAACTACTTTTACTATGTGAGTTATTTTGCTTAATATTTGCAGTATTGTTTTGTTGAAATAATCTATTTTTATATACAGTAGACTCCCTCTTAACCGGCCCGACCGTAAGTAACCGACCACCGTATTAACCAGCCACTCCCCCTTTCTATTTTTTTGCGTACGAGACGATCATCAAGCGATTGGTTTGAGCGTGAATTTGTTCCGAGAGTAAGGCGCCATCTTAAGAGCGTAAATCTTCCCACTTAAGCAGTCCTACTTCTGGATAATGCTTCAACTCATCCTGGAAACCTAACATGTGAGACAGATGACATAAAAGTTACCTTTATATTAAGGGGTGATTAAAAGCTTGAAAAGACGATACAGACGTAAATTACTGTTCGAAATGTTACAATGCGCAGAGGGTAAAGATCTCAATCTTATTGATATCATCAAAAAAATTAACTTAAAGGACGTAAATTACATGTTAGCTTCCGCCTTGCAAGAAATTCCTGTTTCTACTTTTGTTAAGTCTTGGCGAAAACTTTCGGCCAACATTGAGGAACTTGTTGAGTGTCAACAATCACACGAAGAAGATAATTCTACCATCATTCTTCAAGATCTCCAAACTTTATCCGAAAATGTTTAATTTCAGGCCGAAGCGATTGAAGACTGGATGAACTGTGACGAGGAACTTGAAAACGAATTTTTGACAGACGACGAAAATGAGGAGACTGATGATGCTGATGTTGACAGAGAGGAAAAAGTCGGCCACACCGAAGCAATGGCTGCAACGAAGGTGACATTGAAGTATATTGAATTGTCATCTTCAATAAACGTCTTGGTTTTAAAAAAATTGAGAAATATAGCTTTTAAAAAATCACTTAATGTCAAGAAATAGAAGAAAGTTACCGATTTTTTAAAACAAGTTTGGAAAATATTTAAATATGCATATGTATATGTACATAGAAACGAATAATATTTCTGTACTGTATACTCCGTGATCTTTATTAATATACACCTTCCTATGCACATGTTTGATATATGTTTGTATGTATGTACTTGATTTTTCTCATGAAGATGCCTGCAAATCGGATTAACCGGTCATTTGGTCAACCGGCTACGCTCTGGTCCCGAGGTGGCCGGTTAAGAGGGAATCTACTGTAGATACTTTGATCTTTAATGAACATTTTCTGATTTTTATTTTGTAGATAACCATATATCATTTCAAAATAAATTTAAAAAATTATGAGTTGCAGACAGAATATAGATATTAATAAATGACATAACATACCCAACTCCACTACCAGGCATTGCAATATCGAACTCGTTGTGGGTTGCATGTGGATCGTCGTTTCCAGTATTGGTAACTTGTAAAATCATTTGTTTGTTAGCCAGTTCCGCTGGTTTGAATTTGAAAAGTACACAGGAACAGCACATATTGCGATTGGAGTGAATGAATTTGGCGGCTACAAAACCTATAAAAAATATTTGAAATTATATTTTCATATAAATATAATGTAGCAAATATAACGAGTTTTATATAAAGCACAAAGGATCTGTAAAGAAATAGAATTAACACACATGTAATAACATAAAACGAAATTATTGACGAAAGTTATTGAATACATAAAAATGTTCAATCATTATTCATCTTTAGATAAAAATGTATTCAATATACAAGTAGTACTAAATCTGTGAACTATGGAGCAAACGAACGGAGAAGCACATTTCAACTAATATTTTAATAATTTCGTCTGTGACGAGAGGGTCTTGACCCTCTTGGGTCTTGACCCTCTCGTCACAGACGAGAGGGTCAAGACAGATGGGACCTAACACGCTAAACTAGGAAAAGGTACATTCTAAGATGATATTGTTGAGTTCGGACTGATAAGAAGAAATGAAAGAATAATTTGACGTGGTAGGTAGTTTTCTTTTTCCGAAACCGTTTGTTGGTATAAACCGATCTAATGTATAATTGGCTTATCGCACATCTTCCATTTGTGTAACTTTCTGGCTTAGGTTTTAGTGTTACCGACTACTCACGCAGCTAATTACTATTTAAATGGGAATAAGCCACAATTAAAGGTTAAAGTACGTTTTTTGACGTTTCAATTTCCACTTCGGAAATCGAAATTGAAATTGAAACGTCAATAAACGTACTTTAACGTCTAATTGTGGCTTATTCCTATTTAAATAGTAATAACTTTAAAATGCCACAAGAAAATGGCTTCAGAACAATATTAAGACTCGTAGCTAGGACCGATGGCTTTATTGTCCTGCGAAGCACGGTGGCGTCTCAGTTAAATTAGAAATTGAAAAGTATCTGGTCTGTGCCGAGGATCGATCCTGGTTCATCAGGATTGGTAAGTCAGTATCACTGCTACTGCTTTACGGCCGCCAGTGATATGGTAGTGACAAATGGCTTTTTCCAATGGAATATAAAAGCATTGGGTCCAGACCAAATCCCTATAGAAATCTTAAAATGCATGAATGATGAAACCTTATACATTATAGTAGACTTATTTAACTCAGTATACAAAACAGGACACATACCGAAACAATGGTTACTCTCTCTCCACCTTTTGTGCTATCCTGAAAAATACAAACGCTAAATACAAAGCACGTGGTGTTCGTGTCTATCAAGGTATAAAAAAATGCTTATTAAAAGCTCAAAACTTTATTTAAAGAAGATCTTTTCGGAATTACATCATTCCATCATCAGTTTAATAAAAAGTTGCTAAAAACATTGTTTGGCCACATAAAAAACACTATGTAGTATTATTCCTAAAACATTATAATTCATTCATTATAATATTTGACCCAGTAATGAAAAATTGCTGATATATGCAAGGACATATTATAAAAGAGACAACGATTATTACCTCAGAGATCAGAACTAATTTAACGTCAAGATGACAAGTTAATGTGTCACAACTTCAACACACAGTTAACTTGTCACAACGTCAACTAAGTACTATTACATTTAAGATAAGTAACATTGTAAGATTGTACAGTAGTGTTTTAAATAAATGGTCGCATAATTCAACAACCCGTTATTTACCATTTACGACGTTATTTATCATAACTAGAAGGACACCAGTAATAAAAAATCCTCGTGGAATTTACACAGGTAAATGCAATAGACCATCAACTTCGGAATTAATAAAAACTACAACTGGGGGCATTTAACATGTTCCCCAGGAGCTGGTGAAATTTTGTCGACTTACATTACCTCTAATCTGTGCTAGAATCTAGGGCTAACTAAAGAAGAAGGAAGGAATAGATGATAATCAGTTTGGGTTCAGAAAAGGACTAGAAACCAGAGTGGCGTTATTCGCTTTTAATGTGTCAGCTCAAAGATGCATGGATATGAATGTTGATGTGCATGTTTGTTAGGTTGATTTTGAAAAAGCATTTAACAAATTAAGACATAAAATATTAGTCCAAATTCTAAAGACAACAAACATAGACCATAGAGACTTACGAATTATAACAAACCTCACTGGAATCAAAGAGCACAAATCATAATAGATAACGAACCCAGTCCAGAAATTGAAATCAGGAGAGGAGTTAGGCAGGGATGTATTATGTCCCCATTACTATTTAATGTATATAGTGAAGCCATTTTTGAAGAAGCATTATTATCTTAAAGTGAAGGAATAATAATTAACGGAAGATCTATTAACACCACAAGATATGCAGATGACACCGTGATTATGGCAAGCTCTGTTGAACAACTCCAATTACTGCTAAACAAAACAAACAGTTTCTGTGAAAAATATGGACTAAAAATAAATATAAAAAAGACCAAATACATGATAATAACAAAGAAAACAAATATACCAACAAACATACATTTGGGAAATGTACCGATAGAAAGAGTTGATAAATACAAATACCTAGGAACCTGGATTTCAGATAATAATAATCAAACAACCGAAATAAGAGCTAGGATAGAAATAACAAGAAATGCGTTGGTAAAAATAAAAACAATTCTCTGCAACAAAGATCTTAGATTAGAACTGAGAGCAAAAGCACTGAGATGCTACGTGTTTTCGATACTGTAATATGTACTTGAAAGCTGGACATTGAAGCAAGCACACATAAATAAGTTACAGTCCTTTGAAATGTGGTGTTACAGGAGGATGCTTAGAATAGCATGGACACAGAAGAAAACTGACACGGTACAGTATGGAGCAAATGTAACACTTTACAAAGCGATATCGAATCATTAAGTTGATGCTGCTGTTGCTTAGCAAGGTTCTCATATTAGTAAATGCTGTTCTGGCTTGCTTAATTCTGCTACGTATATCTATATCTGGATCTAGATCTTCAGTTATCCAACTACCGAGATATCTGAACTTGGGGACCTTTTGGATGTTCTTGTTGTTTACTCTTATATTCAATTGCATATTTCGTGTTCTACTAACCACCATTACCTTCGTCTTGTCTATATTAATCTTCAAGCCCACTCGTTCTCCTTCAGTGTCTATTCTATCTATTAGTCGTTCTAGCGCTTCTTGGCTATCAACTATTATATAAATAGGCAAAGAATGCGAAATAATAAACATATTAAAAATAAGTAAGTTACAATATCTGGGACACGTAATGAGGGGACAGCGACATGAACTGCTAAGGCTGACTATACAGGAAAAGATAAGAGGAGGAAGGAGTATAGGAAGAAGGAGAATGTCATGGTTGAAGAATTTAAGGGACTGGTTTAAATGCAGTTCTATAGAACTCTTTAAAGCAGCAGTAGATAAAGTAAATATACTGATGATGATATCCAACCTCCGATTGGGAGACGGCACAAGAAGAAGTATGGATTATAAAAAACCAAAAGATATATTCGGGAGCAGACCTAGTATCAAATTACAATCCAGTCGTTAAAGCGCATTGTGAAGTCTATTTAAAGACAATAAAAGTACAATAATAAAAAATCAGTGATCTGCCAGTCTGACCGATGTAGCACGAGTCACAATCAGCACAAGGTAAATGATAAATGACATTAACTTGTTCCAGAGGGGACAAGGGTGTTTTGGTTTTTGAAAACAAATTTCTAACAGTCTTGGCATTCGTAACCGCAATTTTAACAGGAATGTTCTTCTGTTTATACAGTTTAATAAGTTTGTCAGTAACTTGAGGAAAGTAAGGTAAAGATGAGTAGTGGGTGGTAGGAGTCCCAAGTGCAGTACCAGGCAGAATAGTGTCATTTAAAGAATTATTTGATATTATTCTAAGTTGGTCACCATTGGGTATGCCATTTAAAGAGGAACCATAGCTTTGTACAAAAAGGTATTTGTTAATGAGAGAAGAAGGATAAGAATTCTCAATGAGAATATTTCTAAGTGATTGAAGGGATTCCCTTCGATTAACCGGATGTGTCAATCTATTTAGCCTGCAGCTTAAAGCTTTAATTAAGTTTAATTTATATTTAAAAGGATGGCAGGAATGGTAATTAAGGAAATTATTAGAGGCCATAGGTTTTCTATACCAACTTGTGGTTAAGGTGTTATCTTCCATTCTAATGACACGCATGTCTAGGAAGGAAATGCTATTTGTGAGGGGGTCCTCAAGTTCAACAGTGAACTGTAAATGAGGATCAAATTCATTAAACAAGGATAAGGTGGCCTGTATCTTATCAGGAGGTAAGGCTAATAATAAATCATCCACATACCGCTTAATAAAAGGGATTTGGAAATCTAAAAGACCCAAACGGTCAGATACTAAATCATCTAGTACAAAATTAACTAGGATGGGAGAGATAGAGGAACCCATGATAAGTTTTTACTTATAATTTTTTTACATACATGTACAACTAGGTACCACATGTTTATTGCTGTGCTAATTTTATGAAAATTGTTAACTATATTTAGTTCAATTTATTGTTTATACAAAGCATAAATAAATGTATGTTGAATATAAAACATAATTTTACGAGAAAATTAGTCTAGTAGAAGATACTCTACAAATCGTTTGCAGCAAAGAGGAATTGAGTTTATTATACAAGCGAAAAATATCAGGTTGGTTCTTCAATAAGGCGACAATTATTTAAAACGGGTATATAAAATATATAAAAATAAATACTATGTGGAACTCACCTAGCGAAAGAGTGTTGTTTACAGCACGTTGGCCTTGGTCGGTACAAATATAGGCTGATCCGGTTGTTGCACATCCCGATTGTGTTTCAGGGTCAATTGCAGTAACACCATCAGCTTTACAGGATTTTACTGGGTTTTTGTATTCTACGTTTCCAGGCCATGAGCAAGTTGGTTTGCAACAATCCCAGTAACGGGTGGTGGTACCTTCACCGGATAAGCCACCAGGAATCTTTTTAATGACAATGTTGTTGGCCTCGAAAGGCACTGCCGAAGCATCTAAAAATTAAAATTAAATGAATAGTATATTAATAGTCATAAAAGGAACTTTAACCATCTGATCAGAAGTTTTACTAATTCATTCTAATGCCGATTAAATGGGTTACCACATCCATCTACTTTCTTGTCAATTATCTCCATTTTTTTATTGCTGTAATACTTAAGGTTTCATTATTTAATCTGCTTATGATTTTTTCCATATGCTCATGATTTTGCTGAGTATTCTTCTGATAACAGAAAGCGTTGTTTTTCATAACTGGTGAACTATTGAAACATTCATTAATCTCGAAACTTTCAATAATAAACGAATATATTGTTCACTTGTTCACTTAGTAGACTTAGTCCAGAATATGACGGTAAAAGTAGTAGAAAACCTAAGATTTTTTATATTCATAGATTTGCTTGACATTTTTACAGTAGTTAAACAATAGATCAAAGAT